CATTTCAGCTTCTCAAGAAAGTCATTTTGACACGGATGCATCCCGCAAAGCATACATCAATTGGGCTTTTGCGTCCAAGGGTGGCGCAATTGTCTTCAAGACCACTCAAGCTAAACCGATTTAAGTGTCAAATCGAAGAAGGATCATATTCTGACACCTTTCTTGCAGCCAGAGCCAGTTTCTGATCGGTTCCCACTTGCCACAAGCAACCGTTCCCAATACCATGCCTTGAGTTTGTGTCTGGAGAAGATGTCTCCTGGCCTCAGCAACGTCAATGCACGGTCTTTTCCAGCACGCTCAATATGCTTGAATGCCTGGGCCCTCCTGCCATTTCACACACACCGACCATGTTGCACATGACGGTTCTTCAAACTAGGGAACCCGAGTTATACATACATACATATATATATGTATTGATACATATATATATATGTACACATAAGCCAAACAATGGCAACATGCAGCAACCCAATCATTTCTTGGGCCCCCATGTCAGGGAACGTACATGTCCCCGACTCGGTTGAACATGCGAATCTTAATGTCTTGCGGCGCGTCCCAATGAGTCCAATTCAACTTCTGATCTGGACCAACGAATATTCGTCAGATCCCCGGTAAGAGAAACGGGTTGGGTGTTTGGCCAACTTGGTAAGTTGTCGGTATCCTAACCTAGGTTATAACCCACTTGTGAGTCCCCCAAAGTGGGGTTGACCTTGTTATACAGGGGCTTGTACCCCAGGTGGCAAACCACTTACTAACTTGGCCTTCACATCGAAGTAGTCGAAAAGCGGGAGCCGAGAAATGGCAAAAAAGGTCCCAAAAGAAACAGCCCCATTTGGGCAGGACCCTTCGCCTCATAGCCACAAACCATCGCCAGAGCCCTGGTAGACGCTGACGAACGCATTGGCCCAGAGAGCCACAAAACATGTCACGGCTTCCTTGTGAACCGCGCTGGGAATTGGGTAAAGTTTTAAAGCCCCATTTTTGTACAGCAATTTCAGGAGTGTACCTTATGTCCTTCTTGACTACAGTGAAAAGGTGAAGATTGGCTCGTGTCTCAAAGTCTGCTCCTTTGGCTCAACTACCTAAGCAAATTGGTCTTCCAAGCAAATGTGCCCGGGCAAAATTTGACTGGGTGATAGCTGATCTAATAATCCTTGTGTTGACAACCCCATGAAAGTTGGCCAAGACGTTGCTAAGCCGTGTTGAACCCCTTTTGGGTTTCGTTGTTTTCCCTGGGCCCTTTCTCATGATGTCTGTTACAAACATGCCACCAAAACATGCAAGGGATGGGAAAAAAAGCCGAGTGGCCACCTCCCAAACTCCGACGCGGTGTGGGTCCTCCAGTAGAGAGAGCTTAGAATAAGGCTACCAACTTCTTGATTTCGTCTCTTTTAGTAGGGGAACCCTCCCAACCAAAAAAGTTACGGTAGAGAAGGGCACCTAGCTGGGGGACCTAGGTAGGGAATGACCTTCCGGGTATTGGGAATGAACCCAGGGCTCCCCTTAAAGGAAACAAAACCACGTTAATCAGAGGTGGACATTACTGGGGGGCCTAGCCTACCTGGTGTGGCTCCTCCCCTGTTGCCTTTGCGCTTGCTCCTCGCATCCAACCGCAAGCGCAGACGCCTGATCGACGTACCGAGGTCCATGCACCAGCCGATGGAAAAGCAGGCCGGGACCTGTAGTCAAGCTGTTGGACGAGCAAACTCAAGCCATGACACAGCGGGCAAAACATGGCAAACCATTGCAATTCATGACAAGTCTTAGCAAATCATGGCAAATCATGGCAAATTATAGGCAAAATCATAGCAAAGAACGGTGAGTAAATGGAACACATATCTCAGCCATAGTCCTTCTGCCATTGCTTGGTAGTCATGTTGCGGTTCCAAGAAAAAACAAAAAAAACAGCAATACACTTCTCTTGGCTGTCGCAAAAATCGGTACCCCAAGATCTACAACTAAATGCAATCGAGTCTGCTTTCAGATTGGCTTCTTGCAACACGGGTGCTGTAGTCAAAACTTCTTCTGTGGCTCATGATCAGTGCACTCGTAAAACGAAACAAAGAGCAGGATCCTCATTGGCATGGTGAATCACAACAAATGTATCGATCACATGAAATCCGCCTCCCACCGAGCGCCAGGCCAATAAAACACACGAAGCTACCTGTAGTGGCCTCAGCAACTACCCCTCCCGCCTCACATCAAGCTGAGCCAACCAGGACTCCATTGATCGGCGACCTTGCCTGAAATGATAACTTGTACGCACTCTCTGCCTACCTGGGCCACCTTTGGCAACAATACACACTGGCTTGCGCTGTGAGAATGCACGAAACAAATCTTTTGTCGTATGTGTTGTTTACAAAACAGACCATGCATATGCTGCACAGTCATCACGGTGCGAAACCGCGATACGATGGCCTTTTGCGGCAAATCTGAGAGTCCTCCAGTCGATGAAATCATTCCGTGCGGTCAAACGTGCACGTGATGGAAAACAAATCACGGCCATGCAAACCGGTCAAGAGAAGAAGCATCTCAAATAATCTCGGTTGCGGTTTGCTTGATAAACCTGTGCATGGTTTTAGCAACAAAGCATGCTCAAAACTGGCACAGGGGGAAAACACTTAGTCAGTACGAGTTAAAGGCAAACAACTCTAACACCCGCACAAAAGCAAATCGGAACATGTTGAATTCTCGCAGACCCAACCCCTCCATCGCCAAATAATTACTCCAGCTGCCCTGGAGTTGATGTTTGCATTTCTGTCACGTGACTGGCGATGCCAAACGCTCTACATGGACATGTTGAATAAACAGACGTGCTGACGCTTGCACTGCTGAGAGTCCATGAGTAGCTTTCTCTCGCGCAAACACAGCAGGATTCATGTATGCTTACATGCAGACATATGGGTATGGGTCAAAATTAAACCAACAGGGGACCGCAGGTTTTAGTCCATGTTTCCATTTGCCAGGGTTCCATTTTGGGTACCTATTTTTGACCCACAGCCATATGAATCTTGGTGTGATTTGGTATCCAAATGTGTCAACAGTACACTGTGCTGTCGACACATTGGGATGTCTTGTGATTTGACCAAAGTCCGATCATGCATGCAAACGCATCCGGACACAGTATTATCTACTAGGGCCTAAGCAACTAGACTGGGCTCTGGGGTACTTTAAAGTCATGCTTGTAGGAGTAAACTCATCTCAGTTGCCCCAAAGAACCCAGACATAAAAGGTTGATCTTTTGGAACCTTGACCAAAACACCAAGAACACCAAAAGCTCCATTCACTTCTGGCAAGTGAGTAAGAGCAACCGTCAGGCAGTTTTCCAAAACAAAAACCTATTCAGCCCCTACTTTCTGCGTCGCTCTCTCCTTTTTTTTGGGGCTGAATAGTTGTCCCCAAGGACCTGGAACTGTCCTGTTGGACCATAAGGTCGGCTACAGAGGTTCGGATCCAGCACTTCAACCGGTTTTTTGGGCCCCTACTTGATGTCGGCCCCTGAAAAAAAAAGGGGTCAAACTTATGCAGGACCGCAGGTTGTCCTTGGTTCCATGAACCGTTCCATTTTGGGTTTACCCTACTTTTCGACCCATTTGAACATGCTCCGAATCACTCTTTGCCCCACAGCCCATACTTTTGTCGCTGCTCCCGTCTTCCCCTCTGGGCTGGGCTTCCTCTGAGCAGGCCACTCCGATCAGCTCGAAGATCAGGTTGATCTGAGGCAAGGCCTCGATCCGGTGTCCGAGTCCCGGTTCTATGGTGTGTGCTTTGTTTTGGGTACCGTGAACAATGGCTTCCCGAATTGCGAGGAAAACAGAGGGTACCCCCTGTGTGCTTTCCCTTTGGCTTCCCTTCCAAATCGCAGTTAATTGAGGTACCTTCAAAAAAACACGCACGCCCATGGGCTTTCGGGGGGAGTTTTCGGTTCTTTCTGAAGGCCGCAGGGGTTCGGTCGAAAAGTCCAAAGAGATCCGTGGTTTGGGTTCGGCCCAAAACGGCCGGAACAACAAAAAACAATCCTTCGCTGCGGAGTGACGTTGCGATTCCTTGGGTTTGGTTTGGGCCGAGAGAAACCAGAAAAAATAAAAAACCATGCAGAGGAAGTTGAATGCCTCCAGCTTCAAAGCCGTTTCCTGACTGATCACGACACGTTCCGACGGGCTCGGCCTCAAGGCTGGGGATGGGTCCAGCCACGTTCCGCATTCCAAAAAATCCGACAAGAAAGTGGCGCCCTCACTGCCTACGCCAGCACAATGAGCGTTCCAACAAATTCGACTTGAGTTCTGGTGAATTTACCATGCGCCCCTGAAAACCCATCCACAAGTGGAACCCAACAGGACACAGGTCAACATGGGTGTTTTTGTTGATGCCCTTGGTGCGAGCGAAATCCAAGGGTGTGCGATGGTCAAAACTCCTTGACTCATCATGGTTCCCATGGGAATCATTTATGCTGAAGGAGCCTTACCAACACCATCCCTGCTAACCGCAAGTACTGTTGACTCCAAATGAACGAATCTGGAGCCGCTTTCTCCTAATTATAGGCCGGGCTCTACTTAGATGGGTCACAAGTGACCTCGCTGGTTCTCATGGAATGACCCGGGCTATTGGGAATGAACCCAGTCCCCTTAAAGGCAACCACCTGGATGGTACTCGGGGTCATTTCATGTCTCATTTCCTGCAAGCAAGTCTAGGTCCTCCAGATTTGAGAGGTTAGAATACGGGTACCGTTCCTTTTTTCTGTGGTCTATTTTGGTAGGGGAACCCTCCCAACCAAAAAAGGGTGGGAGAAGGGCACCTAGCTGGGGGGCCTAGGCAAAAAAAGGAAACCCATCTCCTGCCTATGGAACCGATTGCAAGTAAGGGAAATCCGCACATTCCCGGGACAAACCCACCTATGAAACCCGTGTATGCCTATGAACCCAGTCTTTTCGCCATGGGTTTAACCCTCCAAAGCGTTAAAAACGCCAGAGGCAATGGCGAAGCCAAGCGGCGATGGCGACACACAAGCTTGATGTCACCGCCGCGACGGCGATGCCTGCGGCTTCGCTTCTTGGGCTGCAGCCGGGAATTCCCAGCCGGGAGTTCGGGAATTTTTCAACCGGGAGCCCGGTGGGCACTTAGCAGAAAGGGAATTTTCTCAACGGGGAAGGCTTTGGTGGGCATGTTGGGCATGTTGAAAACAGAAACGCGGCTTTGCCTTTGGCTTCTCGAAGCTTTCCCAGGGTTTATTGGGCAGGTCGGCTGGCTTAAGCTCTGTGAAGCCAACCGGCCAAGTTTGTAGATAGGATCAAGAGTTTCCCGGCTCTGTTTCTTCAGGAGTGAAAAACTGGGCTGTCCTCAGATCTCCCGCTAAAAGTTTAACTTGCGGGTTACGTGGAACCGCACGGCTGGGAACAGCCAAGCAAAAGGGTGCCAAAAGTGACACTCATAGCCGGACTGGGCATCTCTTTGAGAAGCTAGGTTCTCCAGTAGAGAGGTTAGAAAAAGTTGGTACCCTATTTTTCTGCAGTCTATTTTAGTAGGGGACCCCTCCCAACCAAAAAAGGGGGGAGAAGGGCGCCAAGCTGGGGGGACCTAGAAAGCATGGGCTTCTCAGATTCTCTGCCGGCTGCGGCGGACTCGACGCGCCTGTCCGCATGCCAGGAACATCAAGGTGTGGGCTGTGGTAGAAGAGCGCAGTTTCCAACTGGCGACACCAACTGGCGATTTGGGTTTGGCAAACTAAGTGACAAGCAAAGCACCAATTCTCGGCCGGGGACCCCAACAAATTTTCTAGGTTGTCCTCAGATCCCCTGCTAGTGAATAACTCAGTGGGTCAAATGGAAACCCAACCACTAAGCCCAGCAAACACTACAACATCGAAGAGGATGGCTGGGAACCCCCCAAATTTGGGAAGACCCAAATCATAGATGGTGCAACCCCTGAAAACACCTCGGGCTCTTTCCGCCTCAGGCAGGCTCCCTCCATGCTAGGTCCTCCTCCAGCAGAGAGCTTAGAATAAGGGTACCCTATTTTTTGTCTGGAGTGTATTTTAAAACGAACCCTCCCAACCAAAAAAAATGGGTGAGAAAGGGACAAGTGGGGTGAGAAAGGGCACCTAAAAGGACCTGGTGACCTAGTCTATGTCTGCCAACTCTCCCAGCTAAGGGCTTGACAGAGAAGCGGATGGGGAAGATGTTCAAGGGATAGGCCATCGTCACCTCAAGGCAGCTGATCATCTGGACAAACCTGGGCCTGTTTTCTGATCCGCTCGTTTTGTGACGAACTTGTGGGTGAAACGGGAACTACCTCTAAACACAAGGCTAAAAGGCTAAGGAACCAGATGGTTGGGAGCCACCAAGAAACCAACAAGCGGGGATACGGGAGCGAGGATATGGGGGATGGATTCCCTTGGCGCCATTTCCCACAAAAACAAAAAACACTTAGTCAAGCGGTGCATCACACGGGGGAATCCTCCCGTATCCGTGGTGCCCTCTGTATCCCTGCTAGTTGGTTTCCCTGGTCAAAGGTGTTCAGGAAATCCCCAAAGACGTTGGGTCCGCCTCAAAAGGGACGCCTTCAGGTGCAAAGAAAAGAAACATCCAAAGAGGGGAGGGCATGCCAGGTAGTTGGGAATGGAAGGTGTGTATTGTTGTTCACTGGTCTTAGGCAAATGGAAGATTACTGGCGCTGCAGCCCTAGAATCCAGTGCCAGAACAGTTTGTTGGAGATTCAATGGGAATACTTAGAACTCGAAAGGGAAAGCCATCCTTTCCTACCACGGCCGTTGATGTTGCGGCACCTTGCTGGGTCTCAATTGCAACAGGCGTTTGGTCGAATCCAAGAACTGCACGCTGTTCCCAAACCCGTTGTGTTCCGCAGGCAATTACTCTGTTTGGGATCCTTACTCCCACTAACATGGCACCTGACAGGGGGTCCCTACAAGAGGAGCTTATCTTCCAGGTACCCTCCCAGATGCTATGCTAGTGGCAGGGAGGGTAAAGAAATGTCCCCAAAAGGAGCCCCCTGGCCGTGTTTTTTTTTTTTTTTTGGGGGGGGGGAAGTTGCGATTCCTGGTTGCAAGATCCATTTTGCAGCTTTCAGACACCGTGGAATCCTCGGATCGATCGCTAGGAGTTTGACTTGGCTGAACTCGGATATTCAACCACAAATGTTTACCCGGATTAATTAACCCCTGTTTATTACTATGGGGGAATCCCTGGTTTTAGTGAGGATTTCTCACTTTTGGAGGGGAACACCTCCATAGGTAATACACATCCGGGGTCAACACTACCCAAAAGCAACTCCAAACCTGGGAACCGGACTGGGAACCCATAGGCTGCATGCGGAGATTCTGCACATGGCACCATGATGTACAACGGCAATGCCTAAGGAACCTTGTGGTTCGTGTTGATCCTTGGACTGTTAGAATCTTAAGCCGGACCTTGGTGAATGGACTCCCAACCAAAGCAACTCAAACACCACACCTTTCTGGAACCGGATGCCTGCGTTCGAATCCCCATCGCCCCAAACGACTCCATCCGCTGGCCGAGCGGCCGCAAAGGCCATGGCCGCCATGCCGGAGCAAACCACCCAGTCGCGGCTGCAAAGCAGCGGCCTCGGCGGAAAGGCCGCTCTGGGCTCCGAGCAGTGGGCATGTTCTGGCGGTTCTTGAGGGTGCGCCGCAGCCATGTTTTGTGTGTTTTTTTTTTTTCAACGGAGAAGCAAAAGCAAAACCACCATTTTGGGGAGTCCCAAAAAAGGACACACCCAAATGGGCGTGGTTGCTTTCTGCTCCCCTGCTAAAAGTTTAACTCTAGTGGTTTAATGGAAAACCCATGAGTTGGCAAAAAGTTAAAGTCCTGACATCCAAGCAAAATGCACCAAAGACTTCTACCCTCTTTTCTTGGGTATGTGTTTTTCCACACCCTGCCTGTCACATTTCCGCACCCCTCTACAACCCTATCACCAACGCGAAGCCCGCGTTTCGCAAAACTGCCCGGCTTCGGGTCTGCGAGTTTGAAGCTTGCCAACGTTTTCAACCTGGGCAGTGCTACGGCGGGAGCTGGACGCGAATCGCGTTGTCTGTCTTGTTGGGGGCATTTGGGGGGCAACATGGGGGGGGTGCGCTTCTTCAGCACCTGGTGCTGGAGCACATGGAGCAAAGCCTACCTGACCGGCTGATTCCATGGTCCATTAAATTTCATGGGGGGGAACCATGAAAGTTCCAATGGAAATCAACCGGTCGACTCGTTTTTTTTTTTGGGGGGGGGGGTTTCTTCAACCGCCCAGTAAACCCTGGAGTTGTCATGGCCCGTGCTGCAAGGAGCGACCGTTTTTGCTGGAATCGGAACCCCAGAGGCGCAGCTTCCTTTGGGCTGACGGCTTCCCTCACTTCCCACCGAGTGGATTGCCCCAAAACCGTCTGAGCTGAACAAATTTACCGCTGAAAGGGTCCAGACCCAAAAAGTGACCCAAGTCCAGGAACTCAAAAAGTCTTAGTTCCCGAACTCAACCCACCCCAACACGGGTGCCGCGCCGCAGAAGAAAAAAAAAAAACAACAGTTGGGCGCCGCCCGCGCCAATCGACGTGGCCAGGCCGCTGCAAGTTGCCCAAGACGTTGCCCAAGGTTTGTTCTCCGAAGGCCAGGAAGCCAGTCACCTCCAGGCGAAACCTTTTTTCTGATACCAGACTGACATGAGTCAAACTCAACAAAATGATGGGTATTAAAAATGGTCTACCCAGAACCATATGAATTAAGCAGGCCGCAGCGAATTCTGGTTGGGACTGTCCCTTACTAAACTTCATCTACCCGGGTTTTGAGCAAGTGGCTCACATGACCTCCACCCTTAATGTTGGCCAGGATTAATAAACCCGTCCCACTATTAGGGGGGGGGGGGTGCCCTGCAAAAGTGGTCTGAATACCCAAAAGGGGACACACCCCAATCAAAATCAACCAGGGGTTCTACTTAGATCCGGGGTTAACATTAGTAACCTATACACTGTGAAAGATGGCACTTGTCACGTGTTTGTTTAGTTCTCCCTCTTCCTGCCTGTCATCTACCAACTCACCTGGACAAAAAACCCAAAACCAAACCATCCAGTGAAATCGATTCCCTTTAACACCAAGAAAACACAAACATATTCATTTCAGCAAATGGAAGAAGCAACTCCACAAAAGAGCCCTCAAGCTGCCTCGTGAAGCGACATCTTCCGAGTTTTCACTTGGTCAACATTGAGTCAAAGCGCCTGTCAAATGGTCATGGCTCAGGAGCCGTTGCATTGGTCATTAGAACCCCCCCCCTTTTTGGTCGCATTTGTCCAGCGACGAGCCAGTGCCGCGGCCCACAAAAAGCAGAACGCCGGAAGGCGCTGCAACTTTCGAAGATCTCCGCAAGTATGAAACGCCTTCGGAAACAACACCATACTGTGGATGGACGAAATCCATTTCGCACCATCTCAGAATCCCTGGAATGATACGATTCCCCAACGTAAATACCAAGAAACACTGGGGTCAACCATGATTGCCAACTGGTGCGAACGGATTTTGTCCATCCACAGTATGAAATTCATTCGGTAAGTTCCGATTGCTTCAAATTCCGAATGGCAAGAACCAAACACGAGTGCCCTAGCAGCCCCATGATCCCCATCACGAAGCATCAACTATGCAGGCGGATAGGCAGGTCTTGTTCAGCTGGTGTTTTGTTCCCACCACTCCATTGGCCATGGAAAAAACAACAAAAACATGAAACGCTTATTTTGGTTGGCTGATTTAAAGGGAGCACACACAAAGGAGAAGGCAACACTGGAGGTCTGGGTGTCGCAAGGACCAGCAGCTTGGCAAACTGACAGTGGGCTGATGCAGAGGTGTCAGGCACACTCACACACACAGACACACACGCACGCACACACATACACACGCACACACACCCACACCCACACAAACACAAACACAAACACAAACACAAACACAAACACAAACACAAACACAAACACAAACACAAACACAAACACAAACACAAACACAAACACAAACACAAACACAAACACAAACACAAACACAAACACAAACACAAACACAAACAAACACAAACACAAACACAAACACAAACACAAACACAAACACAAACACAAACACAAACACAAACACAAACACAAACACAAACACAAACACAAACACAAACACAAACACAAACACAAACACAAACACAAACACAAACACAAACACAAACACAAACACAAACACAAACACAAACACAAACACAAACACAAACACAAACACCACAAACACAAACACAAACACAAACACAAACACAAACACAAACACAAACACAAACACAAACACAAACACAAACACAAACACAAACACAAACACAAACACAAACACAAACACAAACACAAACACAAACACAAACACAAACACAAACACAAACACAAACACAAACACAAACACAAACACAAACACAAACACAAACACAAACACAAACACAAACACAAACACAAACACAAACACAAACACAAACACAAACACAAACACAAACACAAACACAAACACAAACAAACACAAACACAAACACAAACACAAACACAAACACAAACACAAACACAAACACAAACACAAACACAAACACAAACACAAACACAAACACAAACACAAACACAAACACAAACACAAACACAAACACAAACACAAACACAAACACAAACACAAACACAAACACAAACACAAACACAAACACAAACACAAACACAAACACAAACACAAACACACACACACACACACACACACACACACACACACACACACACACAACACACACACACACACACACACACACACACACACACACACACAACACACACACACACACACACACACACACACACACACACACACACACACACACACACACACACACACTTGCTCACTCACACACACACACACAAGCTCGAACCAAGCTCCAGTCACTGACCGTAAGGGGAATATGCGCTACGACAGGCAGTCGATTCATGTGTGGTAATACCTGTGGTAATCACAATTGGGCTCTCTCGGTTGGCGGTGCTTGCATTCAACAGCAGAGTTGGCCTGATTTGCGGACTGGCCTTTTGAGACCCGCCAGGGGGAATACAACAAGATCATACCCAGATCAGATCTCACGCTGAGAGTTTAGGCTAAGACCATAGAGCACAGCAATGCGATGGCCAGGCAAAGGATACTTGACACAACAGGTCTCCGCAAAAGTATTGCGTGGTACCATCACCCTAGAAAAAACGCGCTCGCATCAGCTGTCTGGGTCAATGGTGATAGCGTACCAATGTTGACCCCCATTGAAAAGACCCTTGGTCCAATGATCTGGGAGTCTACAAACAAACAAGTTCAGCAACAGCAGAACCCCTTTGATAAACAAAGCTCGCGGGGTTTTTAGGGGGTTGTTTGATCACTCATTTCATGTGTGTGTCTGTGTCTGCATGTGTGTGTGTGTGTGTGTCACTCACTTTTAGAGTTCTCTTTTTGGATTGCCTTGGAAGGAAGCCGAAAGGAAACTAACGTCCAGTTTGAAAGGCAGGATCCCGAAACTGGGCTGTCCCCAGATCCGATGCTAAAAGTTCGACTTTTCGATCTGGAAACCCAAGCACTAAATGTTCAACTAAAAATCTAGAAAGCTGAGGAACTTAAATCGTTTTTAGAAATCTATTCTACTCTAGACATATTTTTAGTGGGCTAAATGGACACCCACGCACTGAACCCACTAGAAATCTACCCAAGGAACCGGATGGCTGGTACCAAGCAAAGGGAAGCCGCCCCAAATCCCCTCGGGAGACGTCTTCATCTTCCGGGCCCCCTGGCGCCCATCAGCAAGTACACGAAGCAGCACAGGAGCATCGCACCTCGAGTCGCGATGCAACTCCCGCTTGGACTCGGTGCAAAACGAGAACCCAATCTGAAAACCGAAGCATTTTGAGAGCACCACCTACTAGGTCCTCCAGATTTGAGAGCTTAGAATAAGGGTACCTATTTTTGTCTTTTTCGTCTATTTTAGTAGGGGAACCCTGCCCAAAAGGGTAAAAGCGCACTACTGGGGACCTAGCTGGTCTCTGGGGGTACCAGTAAAAACCCAAGCTTGGTCATCGTTGGAGTAAACGAATCTCAGTTTGTCTCCGGGACCCAGAAACCCAAAATGATCACCCTTTGGAACCTTGACCAAAACTGGACCAAAACAAGAAAACCAAAAAGGTCAAAAGGTCGATTCGCTTTTGGTAAGTGAGGAACAGCAACCGAAAGGACCAAAAAGACCGAAAGGAATCCAAAGGACAGACCTAGACGTGGTCTGAATGGGCTTCCGGGATCAGAACCGAAGCCGAAAAAACAGTTGCGAGGTGAAAGGAAGGCTGTCATGTTTTCAAAACCTTTCGAGAAGGGGCACTACCATCCGGAACAGGAACTGGCACCCTATGTTCAGTCATGAGAAGTCCACCTATGCAATTAGACTGGTGGGTTGCAATGGAGATCAGCAGGACAATGGTCGGCAAGAAACCTCACAAGGGCAGGGGGTTCAGGCCGGAATCTGAAATTGATCGGACAAACGAACAAGCGGAGATAAGGAGGGAGCGGGGATATGGGGGGATTCCCTTGGCGCCATTTCTTATACTTAGTCAAGGTGCATTTCGGGGGAATTCTCCCGTGTCCCGGGTTCCGCCTGTATTCCTGCTAGTTGGTTTCCCTGAATTGAGGGCCTTTTCCCGTGACTCGCAAGCCTCGCTGGGCGTCCCGGCGGACCGACACCTTCTGCATCCGCTTGTAGCTCTTTGCCTCCAGCCTCTGTGAGTGGCCAGGATTCGCTGTATGGGTCAAAGACGCGCTTTTGGGGCGCTTTTTTGAGCTTCCCCCACTGAACATGGGGCTGTGGTTGTCAAAAATGTAAAAAAAGGAAACCCCTGGTGAACGTCAACAATGGGGGGCAAATGGATGTTCATCCACCCCACAATGCAGCCATGGGTTATGCCCACTGAACATGGGTCAGCGACCTGCCATTTCGGCGCTTCTGGGCTTGAACACCTCGTCCCCACTGCGCAAAATCGAGCGAGTCCCCCATATTCCGCCAGAACCATAGTTGTCTCATCAAATGGAGCCCCCCCAATTGGGTTTTCCTGCTGGCTTCCCTTTAAAGCCCCCGAACATGAGGTACCCTCAGAAAAGACTTAGCCTGCCAGAACACAAAGATACCAAACCATGGTCCAATGGGCCTGTCTCAGCGTTATAACTCCCTGCCACAAGAAACGCCTCCAGTGCACGATGCTGCTGGTTCCTCGAGTCATTTCGAGAAGCATCCATATGAAAGAAATGCAAGGTTAAGCTTTTGCAAACGTGGCTGGGCTAGCGTGCTTCTTCCTGGAGTCAGCGAGTCAGCTGAACTCTCAGATGCTCGCAGACGTGCGTGCGCTCAAGGAGACACTTCGCATCTTCGGGAACACCCGCCAATGCTCAAGCGTGCTTGCTTTCAGTGTACATGGCCTTCGTGCTCGCAGTGACCATAGCGAAGCTCGTCTTAACATTCCAAGCCTTGCTCCACTAATTGCAAGCATTACCGCAACGAATGAAATCTCGACATCGCTCCATGGTTAAAGTCCAGAAAGTGAGGAAGTGAGATTGCCCCATGGTTTAGTCATCCCTTTATTCGCGCATCTACCGCCATCAATTTTGAGCCTCTTGCAAATAGGGTTTGGGTTTGTCTCAATAAGAATAATCTTCTGGGCTTCCTTTTGGTTTCCCTTGATACCAAAGGGCACACTCTAAAGAGGGACACATCCAGTTGAATGCTTTTCTCTTTTTTTAGGGGACCATTCAAAAAAAAACACAGTTGTTTTGCATGTTTTTTTTTTAAAGCACCAAAGAAATTTGCGTAGCCTCCCCCCAACAACGGGGCCAGTCTAAACCGCAACTTCAAAGTACGCAAGTAGTACGCGAAGTAAACTTCCGATCGGCCCAGGGCCGCCGGCTCCGTGTAGATCGATGGGACGTTGGGCCTCGGTCTCCGAGGCCTCTCTCGACATGTGAGTGGACTGAGGCCAAGGAGTAGCAATGAGTCAATGCTATTGCCCCATATTAGTCAACTAATCTAACATTTTGACCACCTTATCAATCATGTGAGGACTGCTTACCCATGACCAAAACCATGAGATATTGAGCCCACAAAAAGTCCACCCCAGCGAACTAAAAGGGGGTTGGCCCGTTGGCCCCTCCAAAAGTGGTCTGATTCCCCACATTTCACCCAGGGACCTGACCCAATATTTTAACAGGGGTTTATTAATGTGGGGTCAACATGAAATTCTCGTCAGCTTCCTTTACCGTGGAATCAGGAACTAGAAGAATGTCCCAGGCAATTCCCCGAAGCGCCCCACAGTTACGACCACGGTACGAGACGGCACATGTCCTTTCCTTGCATTGCTGCGCACAGTCGATCAGCTAACCCTTAGTTGGTGATTTGGATTGGTGAACCCCTGGTTCAGGTGGAGGGTAAAAAGGAAGCCCCTTCTTTACCACCAAACCACGGATTCAGCTCCAAACCACCCTTTCCGGGGCAAGCTGAGTTGAGCATCCTCCGTCCACGCTGAATGCTCTAAGCTCGCAGCTGGCAGCAAAATGCGAAGATGGACGTCGACAGCATCTTGAAGCAACCTCCCAACGTGAGCTTCGGTTCTTTGCAACTCTTGTGGCAACAAACTGTATTAAGTGCAGCCCCCTGCTAAAAATAACCGGGACCAAATAACAGTAAGGTGTTTCACTGGGAGGGGAGGGGGGGGTCTGGGCATTGAATGTCTAAGGCCCGGGACCTGAAAACGCGCTCTGATCCAAGGTCGCCGGGGTTGCATTGCAACGACCCCAGATTCAATCCGCAGCCGGGGTTAATAAGGGGCTGGGGGCTCCTCCAAAAGTGGGGTGAACTCCGACCAAACCCAAAACACACACCCCTATGAAGAATCTGGGGTCCATCTTCTACATATCTTGACATGGTCATGGGTTTAAATAGGGGAGCCTTCATGTCCACCAGCCTCTTTGGATGTGGTTCCTACTAAAACTCACGGCCATCTGATTGCTGATCTCATCAAAGCGCGTTGAAAGCACCTCCCCACACTTGCTTCACCGTCCTAACCCGTCGGTCAACCCTGGGATGTCCGGCCGGACAATTTACCAAGCTTTGTGCAGCATCAAGTATGTATATAGCGTCTGCAACCTGAAATAAGCATTGGCAGTGTCTCTTCACCCTTTTTGTGGGGTTGTTGGATTTCAAAAGGGAAACACAGCAACTTTTGCAGGGTCCCTTCAAAAGACGCACCCAGTTTTGTTTCTTTGTTCCTTTGTTCCTTTCTTGCTTTGTTTCCTCGTTCCTTTGTTTCTTTGTCCCTTTGTTGCTTTGTTTCTTTGTTTCGTTGTTTCCCCCATCGATTTTTCGGCCAACCGGCAGATCGCAGCCAGTGGCCTGTGATGCCGCCCTTGGGCTGCAGCGCGTCGAAGCCAGTGAGCGTTGGGCTGATGCGCTGCGAGGCGAAGACGTAGCCCACCACGAAGATCAGATACCTGGGCTGCCCGATTTCAGATCCCCGCAAAAAGTGACTAACTTGTGGGTTAAAGGAAAACCTTGGCCAAAAAAACAAAAAAAACATCTTGCGGACAACATGAAGTCGAATATCCTCCGGAAAACAATGAGAAGATCATGTCCAGTAGTGATAGATTCCCTTTAACACCAACAGGGGAAATTCTCACATGTTCCCAAGCACATGGAAGATATTTAGTATAGAATAGAGAACTCGGCTTTGGTCGCCAGGAAGCACACTGATTGGAGTTCCACGTCATCTCCCCAGTCCAACCAGATTCCAAGGCATGTGTGCTGGCACCATGTCAATGCCTGACACTGTGCATGCAGACCTTCAGGGAAGCAGCACACCACTGCTTCCCGAGTTGTCAATCCAGGGAGCTGTGGGGTTAGCTGCCTGCACAGATAGAAGTCGTCTTTGGAACTGCTCAGGAGACTGGTACATGGCGGGTGCAGCTCTCTCCATCCATTGTGCTTTCTCTGTGCTTCCCCTTCGCACGTGCCAGCGCTCGCGTTCGTGTTTGTCGCGGTGTTTGTAACAGCTCCTGTTCTTGCTGTGCCCTGCTGCAAATATGGCTTGCTCCAGAAGTCAGAGAACCCAAAGTCCCAAAGCCTCATTCTCCGCATTGGGTTGGGAGAGGGGTACTGTGGCACTCGTTTTCAAGCGTCTTCAGGTGTTCGGCTCGAGAAGGCTTCAGTTGAAGGTCTGCCTTTGTATAAAGCAGTTGCACGAGTTGTCGCGTAGGCACGTTGCCTGAGGCCTTGCAATGTACAGTCACCCTCATGGGAGCTCAAACTTTATCCTTTATCTCAGGCACATGATCCAAATCTAAAAGGCTTTCAGTTGTCTCCTCCATGGATTTTGCGATTGAATTGTTGGGTTTGCAGCTTGTGTTCTTGCCATCTTTTTGGTTTTTCCAAGGTGCTGCGCGCTGGTTGTCTTGCTTGACTTGCTCGGCTGCCTGCTTGCTGTTCATGGCTTGCTGCTTCCCCAGACCACAACTCTCTTCCATTGCTGTCATAAGAGCTCACTAGAACTCTTCTTTGAACATCATCCCACCCAATAGAGAGTCAGCAAATACGACAGCAATTGTGTCGAAATCTGCGACTTTGGGGAATGCATTTGAGCCAAAATCAAAACCAGGTCTTAAACTGGTCTACCCAGAATCATGCTTCAAGAACTTAAAAGGCGGATTCTTGCACCCATTTATGGCAAGTGGATTGTCCCTTACTTCTAGGGGTTCATTCCTTTTCCATTCTTTTCAACCCTCGTGCTTTTAACAAAAAAACCAGCCAGTCGTTTTTGTCAGGGTGTTTGGTGGGGTTTTCTAGATGCCAAAAAACCAGCCAGCGTTTTTGTCTGGGTGTTTGGTGGTTTCCTAGAAGGATGCCTGGAAAGAACGGACATGGAAGCCACCCTTAGATTACTCCAACTCGCCGGGCTTTGATTGAGCCAGTGACCTGGATGCCCAGGGTGCAGGATGCAGCTCACGCCCGCGAAGGATGCGAAGCGCAGATCGTTGATGCCTCAGGAGCTGCGGGCGCTGTTTCTCCGACTTGGCCGGCTTTTTTTTGCGTGAGTTTTGGTTTTTGCAGCCTCCAGATTTGAGAGGTTAGAATCAGTTGGTACCAACTTTTGCCTGTAGAAAATATTTTGGTAGGGGCCCAAGGGCAAAAGGGCATTACTGGGGGACCTAGTTGTTTTTGGAGCCTCACTTGCCGCTTGATTAGGGACCTAGAAAAATGAAAGGTGGTCACCTTTCTTGGTGGACCTTTGCTACAAGTGGTTGCCACAAAGGGGAGACCAAAAGCCCAACTGGGCTATCCGCAGATCCCCTGCTAAAAGTTTAGCTTGTGGGCTACTTGGACACAACTAGAAACTGATGTAAAACCGGACGACTGGGCACCAAAAGCTTAAACATGCTCAAAAGGTCGGTTATGAACAACTCAGGAGCACAAGACTGAGCTATCCAACAAACAGTTTGAGGTGCCTTCTGCAGGTACGCATGCGATCTTGTTGCGCACTGCAGGCGCAGGCTTCAACAAATTGGGATGTACCTTTTTGGGGGAACCCCCAAATGGTGGTTTCACCTTTGGTTTTCCTTTAAAGCCCCGCAACAAGACAGGTATCCTTTAAACAAAAACACCTCACTGTTGCAATGTGTATCAAGCGCGTCATTAAAGTCCAGATCGATTGAGCGTGGCGAATCCAGCCAAAATGCCATGCACGCAAACACACACTCATCGAAGAACCTGCTTGAACGAAAGGCTAAGGATCACAGATTGCATGAAGAGAGCTTTAATAGGAGTCCACGAACGACGCTGCTACTCATTACGAATCATACCTTTGATATCAATTATGTTTGTCCCAACATTTCCGATTTCAAATTCTGCACTGCCTGCTTTCGAAACAAGGCACTCCTGCGCCATCAGCCGGAACTTAATCATTCACGACAAGACCTCCTCAAGGATGGCATTTATCAATCAGTTGCCCAAAGGCTTTCGGAACTTACTACAATGGACCGAATCAAGGAATCCAAAAAATTCAGATCCGGTCGATTCCCTTTGGACAAATGAGACACACATCCTGCCAAAAGGTTGCCTCCGGATCAAATAAGTGACTCACCAGAGTCAGATTTCGGCTCGGTGCGGGCTTGATGGTGACTGGCTGTTCAAAGGACATCTCCACAATGGCAGCTTGGTCGTATGGAAAGAGGAAACTGTGCGTGACCCGTCGAATTTTGAGAACCACGGCCCCATGTTTCTGGTCTTCCCCATAAGAATCGGACCATAACTGGAATTCCAGTCGCCCTCCGCCCCAAGTGCATTGAGGCGGTGGGGGCCTGATGGCAGGGGGGTCTTTTTTCCACCTTTGGTGGAAAAATGATCGACCCCCTTGTAGTGAAGGATTCCTTTTTGAGGGGGTCGCCCATTTTTTCTCACAAAAGGTGGCAAAAAAGACCCCCTGCTTGATGGTGACTAAACCCAATGGGAAACGCAATGGGAAACCCATGAAAAAACCCCAAAACCAACCGAGCAAAACCTGTCAGGCCAATCGCAAACGGGCAGCGGTCCAAAAGAGAGAGTGGCAGCAAGACCAGCAGCGTGGTGAGGATCAGCACGGTGTTGGGGTCCATCAAGCTGCCTGAGCATCTGAACGAGAAAGCAACCAAACAACAAATCTTCTGAGCATAGGTCGCCTTTTGGAAAAATCGACGGGTTTCCCTGGTCAATGGAATAAAACCCACCTAAACCAGCGCCATCTATTTTTGATCAAACTAACCTAAGAAGGACACCTATGCTTCTGAGGGTTCTTTTAGCAAAAGGGAACGCCACCAAACTTGGGGCGGGTCCCACTAGATTGGCCGACTGAAAGTTTTCAGAACTGACAGGCCGAAAGGTGCCAAACTTGCTTTACCCCGGCCCGAAAGTGAAAGGGGCTCGATCCCTTGCCAAGTCGGACTTGCAAATCAGAGTCCAAAGGTCTGAAGTTGAAAAGGTGAGCTACACCCAGCCGGGGCTTCATTCCATTTGGGCGTCAATTTTAGTGGAACTTTTCAGGGGTTTGTGGTTTAACAGGGATCCGGATGCATGAAAAACACTTGAACATTGCATTTACCCGTGGTTGACTCGGGGGATCCTATTGGTCAAGACCAAACCGGCGGTACCTGATGCTACAGTTCACCGTTCTGGCTGGTGACTGAAAATACTCATCGGCTTTGAGGGACAACCATGGGTGATTTGTTTAAAAAAATCGTTGGCCAACCAGTGCCATCCATTTCTAACCGAACTATTCCACAACGCAGCCTTGGCTGCGCAGATTTGCTTACTTAAGTAAATTGAGCCATTGCCCCCCAGCTAAAATTTCAAATTGTATCTACCTGGAGTCTCCATGACCCTGTAAAAATGGTTCCATGACCCCATTATTTTGGGTAATGACCCCATTTTTAAAGGGTCATGGAGACTCCAGGTAGATGTCTCTTTGAATCCACCGGATAGTAAACGCGAGCAAGGAGATTCAACTCTTGCAAAGAATAGGTCGATGCCTACCAAGCCCGAGTGGACCCGCATTGTGCCTGATGCAACCTATACGATTTTGAGGGTACCCTTTTCAGGTTGGTTTAAGGAAAACCGAAAGCACAAGCATCATTTTTGGGGTCCCCTATTTATGCCGCCTGGCAATGCAACTGCAAGACATTTGGGGAGCAACAAAATTGTTGCAACGCCATTGATCCTCCTGTTGCGAGACGTGCTGAGATGGACGAAATCCCGCTCAAAATGGGGTTTCCCTAAATTTGATGATTGCCGTTGGGTGACCCCGCAAAATGCCAGCCAACACAAGGGCTCCATTTTGAGCAACTAGGTGCGAAATGGATTTTGTCAGTACTTGCTGGTGCTCAGTAGATGACCGAGACCGGGTCTTGGGAATGAACCGTGGGATTCCCTTCAAGGAAACCAAATCGAGGATCTTTTGTGTTCGGGGTCATTCCATTTCTCATTCCCTGCCGATTTTTCGCAACAGGGGAATGGAGAAGGCCCGAGCCTCCCTGTCGAAAAGCGCATCGAAGTACTCAGTCCTACTTACCAAGTCGGGACAGCATCTAAGCAAGCAAAGTGCTTCCTGGGATTCTAGCAAGTGTGTATGACTTGTGCTGGTCACCAGGCCCAAATGGGTGACGCTTTTTAGGAACGGTTTCCCAAATCGGTGCAACGGTTTTCCTTTTAGTTCTCCTTTAGGTACTAACTCAAAAAGACACCCATTTCCTAAACCCGAAACCTCCACTAAACCCCAAAAAGCTAAAAGTCTGAGTCCTTTAAACCATTGACTAACCATTGGGTTTAGTCAAACTGAGCTCCAGGGGTCAATGGAGCTCCAGAATTCGACATCCCCCTTCCTCTGAAGGGCGTGGTTTTCTCAAAGCACCCGCCCAAATAAGGCACCCGAAAGGGACATCTGAGATCTGCTTAAATGGGGCATTGTACTTAGTAAGTGGTGGGTAAGCCTGGTTACAACCCACCAATGCCATGGTTATACGTCTCCGTTCAGTGGGTGATCTCACCAGGCTTACTGACCACTTACCTGACGTACCGAATCGATCGCCCCTTTCAGTGCCACCGCTTGAGCGATCGGATCGGATCGAGTTGCTGAGTGCAGGGTCCGCCAGGTGCCCGAAGGCGGCGTCCAAAACCTGGCTTGCGGCAGTTGGGATGAAGCCCAACAATAAGCTCAAACAGAAACGAAACAAAGCACACACAAACCAAACCAAAAACAAATAAACAAAACAACACCAAACAAACAGAAAAGAAACACGTGACAAGACCAAAAAGGTACAAGCACAAAACGAGGGTGGTACAAGGATGGTAGTTTCATGTTGCAAAACACACGGGCACCAGCTGGGATGGAAGAACCAAATAGGCAAAAAGTCCCATGGTTTATCCCAGTATTCCTCTGGTGTCCATCCCAACTCAAAACATCTCTTATGAACACTGTCACCCACGAGTGACGTTGGTAGATGGCTTGTCCCAATATTCCTGGGGTGTCATTCATCCCCACGTCAAACCTCTATGAGTACTGTGATCAACCACCTACGATTGTAGGATTTCGATGGATTTCGTCTATCAGTGCCAAAGCTTAAAAGGCTTTTGCGCCATGCCATGATGCACGACAAATCGAACATGCTGGCCAAACCAAGGCATGGTGGATACTGTTGCCACAAGATTTGTTCGCACCAAGTTTTGCCTCCGCCCTGTTCACGGGGGCAATCCGCCTGCTGTGAAATCTGGCCCACCGTGATCATGTAGGCCACCGCTGTGCCGAAGCAAAACAGCACGATGTTCACCTGGCCGGAAATGGTTGTAGCCCCAACATTGAAAGCGCAACACTTTTCCCTAGTCTCTGTTGGAAAGACTGGATTGGGGGCCCCTGCTGTGGATGCATTTAAGAAGCCCTGGGAAGCCATTGTGGGGGAATCATATCATAAACCAAGGCTTCTGAACGGCGCCAAAGAAAAATTCACAACCATCCACCTGATTGCGGGGATTTTCCAGGACCATGCGCTCGACAAAAGAAGCTGACAGGCGAAGCCGGTTGCGGTTGCGGGCGCGCTCTTAGCATCTGACGCACGTGTTTCGCGCCTCAAGCAGCAGGGCGAAGCAGGGGCCAAAGGCTGCCTTCGCAATCTCCTTGCGTTGACTTGGCTCGTGCAAACCTTTGAGTCGTGCCAAGTCGATCTGCTGGTGGGCATGTGGTCCATTGACTGCATCCCGGAACATTTGCCTAAGCCCCCTGGAAAAGATAAACATGCAGAAACACAAACGCATTTCAGAAAATGAAAGCAGCCATCTTGCACATGGGGCCTGCTCAAAAGGTCCGATACTATGGGATGACCGTTGGTTGGCAAACCACGAAGAACCATGGTATTTCCCCCACATGGGGACAAGCTATTAATTCATGGGGCCGAAGGGAATATGGATCAACTCCCACATGAGGCCTCGCACGTTCATCGAGACCTTTTTTTAATCTGTTTTGGTGGTTTGGATTTGGATTTGAAGCCCTGGTGCTTGTTGAGTACATGGAAGGCCACCCCAAAACACCACCGGCTCACCACCGGTTCGGCTCCAAACCACTCGGGGGATGCTTTGCTGAAATGACTATCTGTTATGTTCCTGTAGTTTTCCACTGGTATTAAAGGGAATTTACTCCTGGAAATATTAAAAAATAAGCTGATACTAGGTCCTGCAGTAGAGAGGTTGGAATAAGGATACCTTTTTTTGTACTCTATCTTAGTAGGGGAACCCTCCCCCCAAAAAGAAACGGTAACAAGGAGCACCCCCGCTGAAAAACCTAGTTACATGAAGCTCGGACACTCTGGTGGACTTTTTTCGGCTCCTCGTAGGAGTTCTTGCCCGACAACTCCACCAGCTGCACGATCACACGGATGCTCAGGACGGACAAAGCCGCAAGCAGCAGCATGAGCCTTGCCATCTTGTTGGAAAGACAGGTGTGCAGTGGAACGTTCCGGTACAACCCTTGGTATGGTTGGACATTTTTGCAGCCCCCTTTCCAAAAATGAACAGGAACCCAAACAAATTGCAGAACCTCAATACCGCGCCAACAGCGGAAGCTCCTCTGGTTTCATAGAAGCGAAATGACTCGGCACCATGCCCTGGCTCCGAGCCAAGACGAAGACCAGCTTTCCACCCCCCAAGCCGAAGCTACCGGGACGCCGTAGAGAGGCTAGAATAAGGGTGCCCGATTTGTTTTCTGTAGTCTATTTTACTAGGGGAATCCTCCCAACCAAAAAAGAAACGGTAACAAGGGCACCTAGCTGGGCCTAGGTGGAAGCTTCTGGTTTCATAGAAGCCAAATGGCTCGGTACTGTGGCTCCAAGCCAAGACGAGCACCGGAAACCAAAGTCTTCATATGGTTTCCCCTACCCCAGCCGAAGCTACCGCGACGGGGTTTGATGGCAAATGCAGCCACAATTTTGCCCTTGAAGGGTACAGCTTCCTGGCAGAGGTTTGGGGGTACTGGAACCGATCATCTTAGACAAATGTATGATCAGCGGCCACTTCTATGGCTGAAACATGTTAGGCTAGGAATGTCCCCCCTAATATCTTACGAAGTTGCTGAATCTGGGGGGATGTGCGGCCGTGTGTTTTTGGAAGAGGCGGGGTTCCATGCCAATGAATTTGATTGATTTGTCTCATGCTGTTCGACCACTGGAAAAAGTTGTCGAGAAAACAGCCAACTGCCCGGGCAGTGAGCATTCGTTCAGAGATCCGAGCAAAGATGTCATCGTCTTTGATCAGAAGGGAGAGGGAAGGCTAAACTTTCGATGTGTCTGAAGAAACATAGGGCCTCAACGGAAGGCAACTTCAGCAAGCCGCGTGGCCCCCGCAACCTCGAACACGTCACATATTTTGGTGAAACTCCGATTCTTTGCGTTCGATTCAAGTTTAGCTAAGTTCCGGGAATGTTAACTTCACGCGAGAGACGCCCATTTGTCGTTTCTCGCCATGACCCGACTGGTTTTCTTTCCGTCGAGCAGCAACGGGCCCCACAGGATGCCCGAGTAGTACCTGAAGCGGATCGGACATGAGGCGCCTACCTGGAAGGATCGGCCACATTAGTGGGGACCGTCCACTTACGGGGGGGCTACAACCGAACGGTTACCACCAACTTACTAACTTGGCGAATCGAACACAAGTACAAACGCAATCATGGCAAAATTCCAGTTGGGCAACACGTGTCGTTTTAGTTTCGTGTAGCGGCAAGTCGTTGCACAGTGACCAACTACCACAGTATTGGACGCGTGAAGCAACCAATTATCGTTTGTCTATCATTTTGTTGTTATTTCCGTTTGCACTTCGCTAGGCTCCTTCTTTGCACCGGCTCGCTTGCCTGCTTGCCTGCCTGTAGCTTCTTTATGAATTGGGCAGCTCCTTGTAGATTGGAAGATGCAGAGTTAGCCACACGTAGCGCTCAAGGACAATCTCAACATGATGAGATGTGGCAGCTCAGGGCCCGCTCTGCGCTTTGCCGGATAAGCCGAAACTGTTCCAGAGGAAAATACACAAGGTACACTTTGCCCGGCTTTTTCTCCAGAATGCCAAAAACAAACCTCTCATTCTTGGAGGGTTTTCAATTTTCACATGGGGGTTGATCAATATTCCTGGCCCCCAAATGACCATGGGTAACTTTTCCCATGTGGTTGAAATCTCAAATCTTTTTAGTCGTTCTCCAACCATTGGTCATCCCATGTTCATCGGACCTTTTGATCTTAACCCATTTGTATTTTCCTTTTTTTGTTTCCAAGGGAATCTATCACCACCGGACATATTGATTTTTGTCTTCTCTTTGTTTTACCAGGGGGCACAAACGCAAATGGCTTGGTCCATCATTGGAAACCACTGCCTTTCAGATCCGAACCACCACACCAAAGCTTTGATCACCCCACAGATGCCCAGCAACCATGGGAAAAAAAGGTCATCCTTTTTTGGTTGGTTGACTTTAAAGGAAGCGGAACCCTTCCCAAAACAAAGCTGAAAGAAGGGGCGGAATCCACTGGGCAACTGTGAATCAGAGATCTTAGTTGCCCCAAAAACTATCTCCTTACGCGAAAGGGACTCAAACCTGAGCTCAACAGCAGTGGCAAGAGCAACTGGGCAACTGGGGGACTTAAGCAAGAGGGATGCAGTCAATCGACCACCTGCCCACTGGCAGCAGCTTGGAACATTGGTTTTCCTTTCAAGCCGCAGACGGGTACCCCACATTTAAAGCCACAAACGATGGGTACCTACCCCACGTCTTGCTTCAGGGAAGATCTATCACCGGGAAAAATATGGCTCTTCTGTTCTTCTTTTTCTCCCGGGGGCCAAAAAACGCCAAAGACGGGTGCCCACCCTTCAGCCATCCGCCGATCCGCCCGATCCGAGCGGATCCGAATCCCCGGGCCCCCCGGCATGGCGCGGGGCAGCGCCAGCGCGCCGGCGCCCAGGGCGGCCGCGGAGATGTTGACCACACCTGGGACCCGGCTCCGGTAAAGGGTGCCCGGGGTTCGAAGACATGGGGGGGGGGAAACCATACAGAATTTTTATCTATATATATATATATGTATATACGGGGGACCATACATCATTTATCTATATATATATATACACTACATGCACATATATATATATATATATATGTGTAATGGGGTATGTTTTTTGGCTAGGTCCTCCGGTAGAGAGCTCAGAATAAGGGTAACAACTTTTTTCTGTAGTCTATTTTTGTAGGGGAACCCTCCCCCAAAACAGTTGGTAAAAGGGCACTATTGGGGGACCTAGTTGGCACAGGAGTTCCTTCTAGCGGCCATTCAAAAAAAGGGGGTATATCACGGGGGGTATGTAACAAGCGTCCGCCTCTATTCCACACCCCAGAAACAACTCCACTGCATTTTTTCCGGAAGCACCACACATTGAGATACTCAGGATCTGGACGCATCCTGCTGGCAACGTCTTGTTATGAAATGACCCCAGTGGTTTGTTTCCAGTGTCCAATTTACCATGGCCAGTGGAAGCCTAAAGGAGCACCGTTTTCGCAACTTTTCACGATCAAAAGCCCAGCCCTAAAGCCCCACACCCCAAAACCCAAAATGAACCCGCAACCATGAAGCCCGAACCCCCCAAACACAAAATCCCAAAATCCCCAAAACCCCAAAGCAGTGCACCCCGCCAAAGCTCTAGAGGTACCTCCCCCATTCAGGGAACCTTCTTTCCAGGAAAGCATCAAAAACCCAGGGCATGACAGCTGGTCTTTAGAAAGAACGATGGTTGAAAAGCATGGAAACGGAATCAACCCCTAGAAAAGCTCCCAACCCCCAGCAAATGTAAATGACTGGGTCGAGCCGCTGCTGCGCATAGAGCCTGGACGCAGAAAGCTCTTTCTTCCGCCCTTCGTGGGTGACTCCTGAGAGTGTCGGCGAGGCGGAAAAGCCCAGCGCCGCGTTGCAACAAATCCAAAACTAGGTCCTCCAGTAGAGAGGTTAGCATAGGTTGGTACCCGATTTTTGTTCTGTAGTCTATTCTAGTAGGGGAACCCTCCCCCCTAAAAAGTAAAAGGGCACTACTGGGGGCCCTAGACAACCTATAAAATTCACAAGCAGAGAGGAGGGAGGCGATGTTTACAATGCCAAAACCTGCTCAAACTCGCAAAAAGGACATGAGGGACACCCAAGTAGATGACCTACGTCATGCTTGGTCTGTATCGCAATGGGGTACCCTTTTTGGATGGCTTCTAGAGGAACAGGGAAACCCAATACATCAGCTGTTGCCGAACATTGCTCATATGTTCAACCTGTTTGTGGGTTTCTCAACTGGACAGCGGAAAAAAAAACCTCCGTATCTGGCTGTGTCTGTTTTGAGGATTCCATTTGTAGGGTGGTTTTAACAGGCAAACAACATCATTTCATGGGTACCCCTATGTTTAGAATCATTTTAAGACACACCCATCTGGAAAACTTGCCGTCCATGCCGAAATCAATGGTTGGATCCCTAGCCTGTCCCATGACTTGACGCTTCAAGGGCTCCCGTTTGACTTCCTCCCGGTTGGACTCGCATTTTTCAAGAGGACGCTCATGTGGGTGTGTCACGTAGGAATCCGAAACCTCAACATGGGTGGTGTCCTTTTAGTGTCCCTTTCAAACTAACCAAAAAGGGACCCACCAAAAAGCCACACCCACTTAAAAGTGGCCCAGGTGACGTCACCAGATGAAAAGAGAAAACATAGGGACTCCTGTTAATGTACCAGTGACCCTGGATTGGGTAGGGACCAGCCAGAATTGATTGGTTCCGCCAAGAAGACAATTGCGGACGACTGGGAGCCGTAGGCAGCAAGACATGCAAGTGTTTCTTTTGTTTGGCGGGAAGCCCCTTTTTCGTGCTTGAAGAAGAATGTACAAAAAAGGCCCTTAAAGCAAAAAGACGCCCCAATTCAGCAACTCAAACAAAGCGAAACCAGCAGCTACCCTTGCCGGTCGAAAACGAACCTGACAAAGCCAAAGGTGCAAATTTAAAGGAATCAATCGGAGTGGAGCGAGAAAGACGAAGGGAACAAAACGGGTTTTATTTGGACGAGACCAAGAAACAAAGATGGGAAGAGTTTCAGAGAGGGAGCGGGGAATAAAACATCTAAGCAAAGTCACACTTTACTATTATCACAGTCACCGCACCCCTTCTCCCCCCCCGGGTCAGGTGGTATGTTAAGGGAAAGCAGCCCCAGCTTGTTCAGCAAGATGGAAGCCACAAGGAAGCCCGTGAAGATCGGTGTACTCTCCCGACTAACATGGAAGTGCAAACACCCCTGCAGAAAGACTACCTTCTTCTTGGAAAGGGGCTTTGTCCACTTCCATGTTAGTTGGTGGTGGGGAAATATATCTCACCAACTCACTTGCTGAGTGGATGGCCAAAAAAAGTCCAAACTTTTTATTTACCACTAAAATGGTCTTCCCAAAAAGCTTAAAGTTCATGAACTCAGGAAGTGAGCCAACGGGAAGCGAGCCATCGATCCAAGGGGCAGCTGGGGGGCTGATCAAAGCTTCAGCGGTCGTGTGCCTTTCGGGCTCTTCATCGAGGCCTGCATCGACGTGCTGATCGACGTGCTGATGGGTCTGGCCTTTTAGGAATTGAGGAATCAGAACCCCCCAACATGGCACAACGGTTTTCCTTTTGCTTTCAGCTGTAAAAAACGCTTGAGTAATTGAGGTCCAATTTTCGTGTGGAACCCAAACAAAAAGGCAACAAGAATTGGTGCCACTGGGAAAGGATGCTTCAGTTCGGCGTTCAGTGGAAATGGAAATGAACCCGTGGGGATTGGTGGCTTCTCGAGAAGCCAGTTTTCAAATCGGGTTTCATCCATCCGTGCTACGAGATCGGATGGGTTCCAACTCATTCTCGGCCCGAGTCAGCCATGCAGGTCTCATGGCAACCCGCCCTTTCCGTGATATTCTGAGTTCTAGGTCCTCCAGATTTGAGAGGTTAGAATAAGTTGGCTCAACTTTTTTCAGGACGTCAAAAGGGCACTACTGGGGGACCCTAGATGACTGCTTTGCCACTCTAGGGGAGAGTCCGTTGGCACCGCAAGGCCCAAAGCACCCCGTCTCAGCATCCCGCGCACATCTTCCGAAGTCCAGGTGAGGATGGGCATCAGATCTGGCACATAGCCGCCCTGCACCAGCCGGTCCTGACACTGTCACACTCGTTGCTCAAAATAGGAACTCGCCCCTTTGAAATGGGTCAAAACCCATTTCAAATGCTTGATGTCTTTTTGGTGTTTCAAGCTTACCCAACCAACCGGAACACAGGGATCTTAGCTGCCCCAAAAACCATGTGCTTACGCGATTGAAGGACTCACACCGAAGTTCAATGCAATTGGACAGCATCGCAACAGCAGTGGCAAAGCAGTGACAAGAGCAACCAACAACGACAAGGCTGACGATTGGACGCCCCATTTTGCCCGCTCGTGTGCGGGTAGATGGTCAGATGATGGTCAGTGCTCATTTGCTCATGCCCCAAAAAACCCTCCAAACAACCACGACAACGGCAGCAACAGCCACTTCCCGCAACACCCCCACCTGCGCCAATCGCTGCAGGTAGGATGCTCGGACAGCCTGAATGGGGCTGGAAGTGGGCACCTGCGACGCCGATTCAGCTTGGCAGAAACGCCCAGGTCCTCCAGTAGAGAGGCCCTAGAATAAGTTGGTACCAACGTTTCTCTTTTTTGTCTATTTCAGTAGGGGAACCCTCCCCCAAAAAGGGGCACTACTGGGGGACGTTGCGCATTGTTTTGTGTGCACGTGCCCATGTGCCCATGTGTGTGTGTGGAGGAGACAACATGTATGCGTGCATGTATGTGTATGTGTGTGCGTGAGCGTGGAATTGTGTGGGTTTGCGAATGTGTGCGCGAGCGTGCGTGCATGCGGGCGTCCAACATGGATACGTGCATGTGGGTATGTGTGTCTGTGTGTGTGCGTGTGCGAGTGCGAGTGCGTGTGCGTGTGCGCGTGCGCGTGCGTGTGCGTGTGCGTGTGGGTGTGGGTGTGGGGTGGGGTGTGGTGTGGGTGTGTGTGTGGGTGGTGTGGTGGGGTGTGGGTGTGGGTGTGGGTGTGTGTGTGTTTGTGTTGTGTGTTTGTGTTTGTGTTTGTGTTTGTGTTTGTGTTTGTGTTTGTGTTTGTGTTTGTGTTTGTGTTTGTGTTTGTGTTTGTTTGTGTTTGTGTTTGTGTTTGTGTTTGTGTTTGTGTTTGTGTTTGTGTTTGTGTTTGTGTTTGTGTTTGTGTTGTGTTTGTGTTTGTGTTTGTGTGTTTGTGTTTGTGTTTGTTTGTGTGTGTGTGTGTGTGTGTGTGTGTGTGTGTGTGTGTGTGTGTGTGTGTGTGTGTGCGTGTTCGTGTGTGTGTGCGTGTGCGTGTGCGTGTGCGTGCGCTTCGGTTTGTGTATTTGTGTGAATTTGGGTGCTTGCATGCATAATTGTGTGTGCGTGTTGTTGAACTATCTTTGTATGCATTTATGTGCATGTTTGTGTGTACTTCTGCATGCGCGCATGTGCGTGTGTGCGTGTGTCCGTCCGTGCGTGGGTGGGTGGATGGGTGGGTGCGTGGGTTGGTGGGTGTGTGTGTGTGTGCGTTTGTGTGAGGTGCGTGGGTGGGTGTGTGTGTGCGTTTGTGTGTGTGTGTGTCTGTGTGTGTCTGTGTGTGCGTGTTGTGTGTGTGTGTGTGACTGCGCATGTTCGCGTGAACGATTTGCACGTGTATTGTTGTTCACTACTTTTTGGCTTCATTTCTGCTTTTATGTGCGGTTCTGTCTCTGTGCGTGTGTCTGTCTGTGTTTCATGGAGGCGTATGCTCATTGTGGTTCGATCCTGTGCCCATTTGGCACTAATTATGGGTGTATTTTACTGGATTCCTTTTCAAACGGTACCCTCAATAAAAAGCACACCTAGGTCCTCCAGTAGAGAGATTGGAATAAGGGTACCAACTTGTTTTCTTTTTGCCTATTTTACGGGAACCCTCCCAACCAAAAAAGGGGGTTAGAAAGGGCACCTAGCTGGGGGACCTAGACATCCATACGTGAGCATTGGTGCGGCAGGCGCCTGGTGCAGAGGCACCTGCAGCAGCGGCGCTTGAAGCATCGGCCGCTTCACGCGAGTCTTCTCCTCCTGCGAGGCCCATGCCAGCGCACTAGGCAATTCGTGCAGACTGTTCCCAAGTGGCTGTGGGACCAAAATAGGTACCTTAAATGGAACCCTAGTAAGTGGAAACATGGACCAAAACCTGCGGTCCACCTAGTCTGGTGGTTTAATTTTGACCCATACCCATATTGGTACATGGCTGTGGGTCAAAACCAATGGGATCCCATTTCGGGGTAGGTGAATTCACCACCCAGTTTAGGACCTATTTTAGTGGGGATTGGGATGTTCACTGGGGGTACGATTTGGATTTTGACCTATGGCCAACTGGCTCCGAAATTTACTCAGGGACCACCCACAGATGCTGGAACTGGGCTGTCCTCAGATCCCCTGCTAAAAGTTAAACTTGTGGGTTAAATGGAAACCGAGCCACTAAGCCAACTCAAAACAACCATGAAAAACGGAAGCTTAAACGGATAGCTGGGAACGTCCAAGTTGAATGATGTCCACAGGGCCAAAACCAAAATTCGCGCCCGCTGGATGGCCGGAACCTCTCCTGAAGTGTGGACATGGCTGGCGCACTCGGCGCATGATGGAAACTCGACATCCGGCGGTTGCTTTTGCGCAAAGCAACCCCGCGCGCGCGCCCGCGAAGAGTCCGCTGATTTCGGAGCGGCTTCTGCTCAAATGACTTGAGTAGGTCAAAGATAGAACTCATTAGGCCCCGAAGGGTTCTTAGGCCTTCGGCTCACTGTACTTTGGAAGGAGCTGCGCCGATTGACGTGAATAGCCTCTCCTCTGCTTCATGTAGTCAACAAGAAACAGCTCCAGGAGAGACCAGGGCGTCTGCTGCTTGGTAATTATGGCAACGTGTCTTTCTTCTGCGCATGTCGCAGCTTGAAGTAAGCTGAGCCAGGGCAACATCCAGCCTTTCTCATGTCCCTTCGGGTGGGAGCAGCCCGTTTGATGGCTTTAAATGGAAACCACGAGGACGCATTCAGTGTGGGGCTCCCGCTATTTTGAAAGAAACCCATCTGTGCGCAAATCAATACGAGTGATAGTGTGAGAAAAAATGCTCAAGCAAAAGACTATCAAAGCTGCGGCATGACCATCGCAGGTGTCGATTGCAGTTCAAGGAAGGAAGTGACCACAAAGTATGTCTCTTGTTAGATTCTAGGGATCACAGGCATACGAAAAGCAAAGACGCTTGCAGATCCCCAGAATGGGCTGCTTTCCTATACCTCACTTCCTGGGTGGAGTGACCAAACAAAGTCCAAAACTTTTTGTTTAGCAGCAAAATGGTCCAAACCCAAAAAGTGGCTGAAGTCCATCGACTGAGGGAGCGAGGATTTAGCCTCAAGAAAGATGCACCCGAGGTGACTCGAAAGAAACTAAGGCGCCATCATCCCTTCTCATAAGGAGGGGGGGAACTGGAAAATGCAAAAAAGTCCCCCAGTTCTCTCCCCTTTTTTTGGAGAGCTTCCCCTACTCAAATAGACAAAACCGAAAAACACAAATCGGGTACCAACTTATTCCAACCTCTCTGCTGCAGCTCTAAGGTCCCCCGCCCAACTTTTGGGACCGGGAGCCGGAACAAGCGAAGGTGCCATCGATGCGGTTCCGGGGATCCCGAAACCGAAACGGGGCACTCGGCTGGCTCGACCTTGCCAGTCCTCAGCGCGTCGCGCGTCTTCGGCTGGGCTTGCGGGGAGGGGGGGGGGGGATGGGTGGCCGCGTAAGTTGCTTCTTTTTTGCTTCATATATTGTACGCGTTTGAAGAAATAATTTCACTCAATGCGGTTTGGTAGATGATAATAATAACATAATAGCAGCCTCCTGAAGATTTGGGGTATTGTTTGGGTTCTGCTTTTTTGGTGGGCACTTGGGGGGACGCTGTCTTTGGGGGGTTCTTGTTTGCAACATATACTCTTAGGTGTCCATGGAATGCAATCGCATGTTTCACGCAATGGGTGACTTATAATACTTCACCAACCTGAAATACGGTGATTAGGGGGCTATGACCCACACAAACCACCATTTGGAGTGAGGTCGTGTGAGGTCGTTATGCTTCACCCAGAACCATTTGGGTATTTGGGCCCTTCAATAACACATGCACTCATAGCGTGTACAAAAAAGGAGAAGGCAGAGCTGCGCGTGCTCAGAGTGATACATTGGAGTGTGCCAGCACCAAGGAGTGCCGTCATTTGATACTTCCTTATCTCATGATTAGAGTTAGGGCCAGTGGAATGTCAATGCATATTTTATGGTTTGCTTCACTTTGAGTCAAACTGTAAAATGTATCCTAGGTCTACCCCAGAGTTCTGAGATAGACCCAGCAAGACAGCGTACAGTCACAATAGTGGCATATCCCTCTCGGATTGTTTGCTGCGAGCCACTCCGGGGGGGGGGGAAAGGGGCACAGCCACACTGTTAAACATGCTCAGGTTTGTTCAAGTGTTCTGTGGTTGGTTGCTCCAAGCTCTGAGTTAAGGTTGATCAACTTTTGCAGGTCTAGGTCCAGTAGAGAGGTTGGAATAAGGGTACCCTTTAGTCTATTTTAGTAGGGGAACCCTCCCCCAAAGAAGGGTGAGAAAGGGCACTACCGGGAAACCTAGAGGCTTAATAGACACCCCTTTTGTTTCCAAAAGTTCCACACGGCGCCTTCGCAGTCACGCCAAAGACCAGCCATTTGCAAATTGTGCGATGCTTCAAAAACCAAACCAGAGATCCTCAAGTGAAGCGCCCTCATCATGAGCTCGTTTCTTGGTTGCTGTTGACCTCTCCGCAAAACATGTGAGTAACATTGACTCCACGACGGAAACTCCACTTCCAACGTTCAAATCCGAAGATCCGATAGAAACATCTCGCCAGGAAGATGCGCGGCCTCCAACCCTTCGGCGCCCAAGACTTGAGGCCAAGCGGCGCAAAGTCCACCCAGCTGCAGGTGACGCCTGCGGAAACGCTCGGGTTTCCGGAAGAACAGCCTCCAGATTTGAGAGGTTGGAGCCAGGGTACCAAGTTTTTCTCTGTCTATTTTAGTAAGGGAACTAGCCCCCCAGAAAGTTGGTTAAAAGGTGCACTACTGGGGGACCTAGACAAGGTGGTGCTGGACGGACAACAGCCGATTGGCACCTGTTGGGCTTGGTGATTTCTCCCAATTTGAGGCTTTCATCTATCCCAAGTGGTTTGAAATGAATTTCGTCCACAGTGTGTCGTGGGGAGATCTCTCCGCTCTCCCCAGAAATGGGTTTGCCTTTTGGTTTCCCGAACCAACTTTTCAGGGCGCCCAAAGTTGGAAGGAAACTCAGCGGGGATGCCTGGTTTGGACCACGGCATGCTCTTTCAGATTCCATCGTGGGAGGCTAGATCAAAATAACATGGCAACAGGAACATGGGGCGCAAGTCACACAGCACCCGAAGTCGAAGTTGGAAAGGGGAGAACAAGCCCGAATGGAGTGTTGAACTTGAGGATCTGATTTTCCTTTCTGCAGACATGGTCCCGGAATTTGAACTGAGAACCCGAAATGGTAGACATGATTTAGGTGGACATCAATCTCCACTTTTGCAGTGTTTTGCTTTTTTGAACCCATAGCCATAACCTTGATACAAAGACGTAGGAGTACAACAAGCATGAAGTTGACTGAAGACCTCGCGAAGTTTGCTTGATGCTTGAATGGTCGATTCGCCAAGTTTGTAAGTTGGTCACCTAGATTATAACCCACTTTTGAGTGTCCCGTTCAGTGGGCTGCCCTCAGATCCCCCGCCTAAAGTTTAACTTTTAGTGGGTTAAATGGAATCTACCACTAAACACTAAAAGGCTAAAAAGCTACGAGGATGGCTGGCAGCCACCAAGTTCAGTGGGGTTTAATCTTGTTATAAGGGGGTAAACAAACCCAAGTGGCAATCCCCATACTAACTTGGCAAACCGACCATCGAAGTAGTTAAGAGCTTTGGGGTTTGCTTGTTTTGCCCTTTGTTTGGGTAAGGGCAAACTAAATAGGAACCATCATTTTTGTTGGCACTTGGGTGTGTTTTAGAATTCCCGCCCCCACCTCCCCACGCCCAACAAAAGGACGTGATGGCATTTAACTTCCCTCACAAATCAAAAAAGGCAGCCTCAGAAAGAGACTAATTTTTCTTTCAAGAGAGCGCCCCTGAACATAGGTGTCCTTGTAGGGGAAATGGATGGATGACCCTGGTAGATGATTAAACCACCAGGTAAACCAGGGCTCGCCCGAGCAAACCAAAAGGACACCCTGAATGCTACCCATGGCACCCGTACCCCGGCCTCTGATGGAGGTGCTGGTGAAGTTCCGCACTAACAGCTTCAGCCGCGCCTGGCCAGCCGAGAAAATTCGGATTTTCCGGGTTCCCAGACCAGTTTTGGGGTTCCAAACGCCCCCCCCCCAATATTGGGCCAACCCAATTTGGAATAACATTCCCGGAAGTGAGGGACTCTTTTACCCAACCTAACTGGTGGTCCTTAGGTCTTAGGTGGTTGAGGTTGAGCTATAGAAACCTACATCTCCAAGGTGCAGCTGAATTTCTTCAACATGAGCCCAGTTGAAGCTCAGGAAGGTGGAGACGCCTGGACATAAACCATCTCCAGGAAGAGGGAGGGAGTCCTCCAGTAGAGAGGTTTGAATAAGGGTACCGACTTTTTTCTGTCGTCTATTTTGGTATAGGGAACTCTCCCCCAAAAAAGGGTGAGAAAGGGCACTACTGGGGGACCTAGGAGAGAGAGGGAGCGACATGCGGCCAGGCATGGAGAGCTGATGACTCTAGAAGGATACTGACCATCAGGCCGTTAGTCGCAGTTTCTCAACCTGAAGACGTGAGACGTTCTGAACTCGTTCTGGGAACAACGGCTCAACAAGTTCCATGCAGAAATCTGTTCGTATCCTCCGGAGACAGATGATTCATGCAATGAACAGCTGGCACTAAAGGCCTGGCCCTCACACTTTCCAGCTTGAATGGTGGCTCGAAGGTGGGACCAACACACAGCTGCAGCCGCAGCCTGCCGCGCACATCTTGCAGCCGAACGTGCGTGCCCATCTTCGGTGCCAGTTTCTGAAGCGGTGCCCATGTCGGTCTCAAAGCCGCCTTAAACCACCAAGATGGCACCTGACACATGGGCCTGTGGAAGCGGATATTTCATGTGAAAATGGGTCAAAATTGAACCCCCAGGATATGGACCGCAGGTTTGAGTCCATGTTTCCATTTTCCAGGATTCCAGTTGGGGGTACCTATTTTGGACCCACACCGCATATGTTTCTCCCACGGCCGCTTTGTTAGGAGGGGTAACATAGAAGCCGCGACCCAAGGCTTGCGGACCGTATGCCTTCTCCTTCCGCCGCTCGTCCTCGGAGATGTTGCTGTTGTTGGACACGTCCACATCTGCGCGGGGCTGATCCCCGGTCGGCTCGCAGATAGTGAGAGAATCCTGAAAATGGGCGGTTTCCGGTAGGTGTTCCCTTTTCAACTGATAGCCGAACAACAGGTCCCACCCACCCCCCCAAAGAAATTTCACAAACCCACATGAGTCTGTCTCTTTTTGAGAGGTGCCCATTTTTTGGTTGGCTTGCAGGGCATCCAAAAGCAAAGCCCAAAACACGGCCATTCTGGGGTCCCGGTCCGATTCTTAGGGTGGAAGCCGTGGGCATCGATTTTTAGGTGA